CTATGATGTATCCATGAAACGTCGGTTCATAGACATAACTGTAAAGAAAAAGATAGAAAAACTAAGTTATTTTTCACACAAACACTTATGATAACACTTAAATTTAAAGCATAAAAGGAATTAAAGTTGGAACTGTATACTTCCAAGGAGTTAAAGAAGGTCTTGAGACAAATAAAAGTGCATAGTTTGGAGATACATTTAAACAAATATGTCCTAAGAATGCGGTTGTGCAGCTGTGCCTTACTTGACTTCCAACCAGTGAGTCTGGGGTTCGAACCCCGCCCCACATATTAAGGTTCAGTCAACCAGATAGTATCATCAGCCCCCCCCCCACACTATAGGTATGGCTGATCACTGCCAACTGCATGGAATTGCAACTGGTTGTTGAGTAACACTTTTTTTGCAAACATTCAATCACTGTATATACTTGACTTAATGATTATCCCATCATGTGATACATTTTTATTCCACGCAATTAAGTAAGCTTCAAGTGAGTTACTTTTAACAACCAAACTCAAAACTCCTACGTATTTGTATGTTTGGTTAAGAACTTTAGAACACTCAAGTAACTTTAATTAATCACAAGTTTCCGAGCAATAAAATCTTAGCTTCATGATAGCTCACATTCAGCTTCAGTTCATGTCAGAATTAAAAATTTTGCTCAATATCTGGCTGATTTCATATGAAATATGTTGGTTAACGATAATCCGAATGTCACTTAAAGTACAGTCAAAAAATTTAGGTTACTTGCTTTGTATTTCATGTGGACAATGGTCTGTTTACACTAAGCGTTGGATAGACTTGATTTTCAAAGACTGAATAGAAATACTTTACAAGTAAAGAAGTATACTGAAACACTTTATACTTATTCAGTAAACAACTTGTTAGCAATTAGATTCATGATACAGTCACCCTAGCAGTGAGTGCTTTTGATGTGTTGATAATTTCTTTTGTATTCCAGAATTGGCATAATCACGAATAATTATTCCATAGGTTACTTAATTGACACTGTTCTGTTATTTAGGTGATAAAAGTGGGCATAAAGTACCAAAATTAGTGGTCGTTCGCTGAGTCACTTGTTTCAATATGTCCATAAATCTGAACTTACCAATCCAAAAACAAAGAGCGAAAAAATGTGTGAACTCATGTTATTTCTCTGGATACAAAACGAAGGGAGTTATCGAAAATAAATGAATAAACTAACATTAACAAACTTCACAAGAAATTACCATTAGAAACAGCAGGACCAACAGGCAGCGTTCTCAAACCAGTACCACTGTTGTCAACACCAGATAACTGAGCTACATTTTGAACAGTCTGTACACGAATCATAGATGGACCTATTCCAGGTGCTGCGATAACATGAACAGATTGTCCCAGAGGATTGCCAACACTGATTGGTCTATTCGTAGGATTTATAGCTCTAAATATATTCTTGGGGGAATTTACAGGGTTGGAAATATGAACAGTTATTGAGGAATCACTGACAATTTCAGAAGACGGGTTCTGTGAAATTAAGATGAAAACAGTTTAACTTACGCAAACTTTGAGAAATCCTAAGTTAAAGATGTACTGAGTTATGCCTGTAATAAAAAATTCATCAGTTGCAAAACAGCTTCCAGCTTTTAAAAGGGGACTGATGTGTACTCCGATATCAAAAAAGAGGTTTTGTAACATATTTTTGTCCTCTGTTTCTTTAAATTGAAATTCGACAACAGATTTAAACAATATTAAATTTAGAAAAAGTCATAGATGCGATCGTCTTGAAAGCAAATGTGATAGATTCACTATCGGTAGTTCATTGAAGAATACGAAGATAAAATTTAGTTACTCCAAGAGCCCACACCATTTAAGGATATTAATAATTAGTAAGCTTTATTAAAGACCAACACGACTCACTTATGAATTTAAGATTCTGGTATGGAAAACATTGAATTTGAACTATGCATTATCTCACACACGAAAGTGTGGTCTGAGCTACGAAATTCTCCAATGAATGGAAAATGATCAATACTGAATAAAAAAACAGACAACAGTGACTCATTAAAAAGCAAATTTTTTTCCGCTGTTACATCTCTCTTTTACAAGTAGTGGAAATTATCTTACTTCACATGATTATGTCAACTTGATTACACAACGTCCAAAACGTTTAAAAGGAAAGAGCGTATATTCACTATACCTATATAAATATATATATATATATATATATATATATATCAATTATACATCTCATCCAACAGCTGTACGACAATGCTGCATGCCAAGTAATCCACAACGGAAAACTTACGGAATCCTTCGAAGTAAGGACAGGAGTAAGACAAGGCTGCCTACTGTCTCCAATGAATTTCCTGATTGCAGTAGACTGGATAATGCGACAAACGGAGGGCAATGAGGAAAAAGGCATAAAATAGACTCATACAAAAAACTTGGAGGATCTGGACTTCGCCGATGATATATGTCTGATTTCCCACAAACTGGAAGATATTCAAGCGAAAAGCAACAAGTTGGCAGAAGAAGCATCCAGGGAAGATAGGACTTCAGGTGAACATAGATAAAACAGAGGTGATGAAGATTCCTGGCCGCGAGGAACAGCAAGAACAACAACAGACAACAATCAGCATAAATGGGAGGAACCTGAAAGAAACAACCTCTTTTACCTACCAACCTGGGAAGCATCGTTTCAACTACAGGCGGAACTGACGAGGATATCAAAGCAAGAATCGGAAAAGCAAGACAAGCTTTCACTACTCTCAAGTCCGTGTGGAGGTCAACAACACTCAGCATCAAAAATAAGATCCGGATTTTCAACTCCAATGTGAAGTCAGTGCTACTATACGGATCAGAGACTTGCACTGCGCGTCATAAAGGGCATCTCAAACAAACTACAGACCTCCATTAACAGTTATCTTCGCTCAATACTCAAGATCAGATGGCCAGAACAGATCAGCAACAGGTATCTCTGGGAGCGAACCAACTAGGAACCGATTGTGAAACAAATAGGCAGGAAGAAATGGAGATGGATTGGCCACACTCTGAGGAAACCAGCAAGTGACATCACTAGAGAAGCCCTCGAGTGGAACCCGAAAGGGAAGCGGCGAGTTGGTCGTCAGTGCAAGGGTGACTTGGAGGAGATCATGTGAAGAGGAGATGAAAACGTGTGGGCAGACTTGGAGCCAGGTGAAGACTCAAGCAGAGAACCGAACGCAATGGAGACGCACGGCTGAAGCCCTATGTTCCTCTAGGAATTAAAGGAATCAATAATAATAATATATCAACCAATTCAAATCGAGAAAAAGACAGGGATATAGGAACCAAACCTAGAGTTTTGTAGTTACCTGTTTTTAAAATGTGCAATAGATGACTTATCAGTCCTTAGTATATCGAATGACTAAACTGATCAGCGGCCGTGTCCTATTACATGATTTCTACTCTAACATATGGATGAATATGTACTTGATCTTCTCCAAAAATCAAATGATAGAACTATTGTAGGAAAATAAAAGACTTCTGTTTCATACATATGTCACGAATTTCCTGTGTCAAAACACTGAAATTTTATGAATCTACAAGTAGCCATAAATTAAATATACATATGTTATAGCGATTCTCAGATGTAGAGGTCTCAACCGTTTGAGCTGTCTGTTAGACAATTTATACAATAAGATCGAATGCTTAAATGTACCCTAAAGAGGATATAACACAAACTGCTGAGAACTAGTTTTGAAACTATACTGTGTTTTGGAAAACACGACTATCTAATCTAAATCACCTATGTACACCATTTATCAGCTTGATCCTGAATAAACGAGAGAGATGATTGATGCTTAGATCCCCTCGGTTTGACTGACAACCACTGTCAACAAACCATTTATACCACTCAGTGGCAAATTATGCAAAACATTGATTTCTGGAAGCCTAATGCCACTTACAGTGCTACATATACTGCATACCTTAAAAGAATTACACGAATACGCTTCACCAACTTCTCAACGCCGTCTAGAGATACGAATCTTTAGTAAAGTGATTATCATAATATGCAAAGTTATTGAAAATGATATATACGTTTTTGCTTTAGCGTTTTTGGAGTGAAATCCGACTACAGAAGTTTAATAATGTTTGACTGCTTACTTCTTTATGCAGTCAAGCTGAAGCATGTCGGGGATAATAATTTAAATATACATCAGTCGTGACTAAAGACTTGGTACGATCTCGCACAACTCAATCAAAGTAATGACAATAAAACAACAGGTTACGTATGTACTCATCAACTATCTAACTTGGAGACCTGTGGTAACAGAAGATGGCAGTAAACAGAATACCTTTAAAAAACATTGATTTGAGGCACGGTTACAAGTTTCTGGTTGGGGTCCTCGGGATGGTGAAAACTAATGGCTGGAGACAATTGGTGATATGGCTAGCTCAAAACCGTTCTCAATGACGCAGATGCATTCACTCTTTGTAATTTATAATATCCAATAAAATTCTGTTGTTCTTCCATATTACTATTGTTTTTGCCTCATATCTCTGTTTATTATCTTTCTTTACTCTCTTCACTTGCTTTGTGTGCTACATGGGGTGTGGCAACTCAAACTGCTGCACATCTGTCCAAAGTTCTACGTTGGATCCAGTCACTTACGGCTACAAGTGGGTAGGTAAATGTTTTACTAAACACTTTGAAAAATTCTTTATATTTTGCTTTGATTAGTTTTCTAAGAACAAGAAAATCTGTGCCAAAGTTGGTATGAAACCACCCAGTCATCAGTAAAACTGTGAAGAATAATTTACTCTATACCCTGAGTTATAAGATACAACCTTGTGCTCTGCACAGAGTTTTCCATTACGCCAGATCTGAAGGCAACGTATGACTACTGTGAATAAAATGAGTGGATGGAATTCGAACCTATAACCCATAATCTTATTGGATGGTTATTATACGAAAACCTTATCAAATAAAAATGCAAAAACATAAAATTCAACAAAAAATTAATAAGCCGCACAACCTTTCCATTCTCTGCAGCGGATGCAAGTGTATAATTTGGAGCCGTGAGATTGAAGCGATCTGCTGGTAAACGAATACCACAGTGAGGACGGATAGCCGGTAGTGGTTGTTCATTTTTCTCAGCATAAGCTAGTAACTGGTCTTTATAGGGAGGTGCAAACATGAGTCCTTCAGTGACTGAGTTGATAGCCAACTGTATATCATCCTCTTCAATTTTGGATCGACCAGCATGATGAGAAACAGCCTTTGCTTCTTCAATAACATCACATGTGTGTCCTAAGTGTTAAGTTTAGAATTAGGAGAACATACTGTACAGAACGTCTAAAACTCGAGTACATATTTCGTCTGAAACCTCTGCAACATTAAACTCTGCAAATATGTCTCTAACAGCAGCTAAAGATGGTGGTAACAACTCATTGATATCAGTCGAATTCTTGCTTTCTGTCATTGGTCATGAGTCAGACCACTGTAATTTATCACTGAATAAAATATCTAGAAGGAAAAACAAAAGTTATGGAATTAAACTTAAAACTGAAGCATGCTACAGTATAATCATATGGATATATATATATATATCCATTTGAATAGAATTTCTAACAAGAATCATAAAACCTCATATTAAAAGTGATAAACCTAGGTTTGGTTTTTCCTAACACCCAGGAAGCAGTCACGATAGCCTTGAGGAAACTAGAGATGTGTATTTGTGCTAGGCTACTTTTACTATTAGTTAATCATACTAACTAATCTTATCTTTCTAGTGTAGAATTTCTGGTTTCTCGCTCAGGCACTGAAGCCTTAAAAAATTTCATTAATTAGTATTACACCTAGACCTCAGCTGGTCTTTAGCCGGCAGGACGTCTGAATACACACAAATATCTACTCTGCGTGATGATAAGATTGCATATCACAATAAATCAAAGATCCATGATGGCTGGAAAGAATGTTTCTGCAGGTCGTCAGATGGCAGACAGGTTAAATAGTGTTAAGCATAGTGTAAGTTGTTTACATCGTATTGGGAGTCATACAGAGAAGTCACAATGCTGGTAAGTAGAAGTAAGAAACTGTAATGCTTTCCTTGGACACCTAAAGAGATAGCTATGCTGCCTTTCCACTATGATGATTAGGAAAACTCTGCATCCTGACACATCCTATGACAGTTCATCAATGGCCATAAGGTTTTTCGTACGGATGAAATTCCCCGAACCTCACATCCAGAAAGGACGAGTGCAACCCACTCTAAGCAGTTTTTTCACGGCAGTCTGGAGCCACACAAAGCTTATCATTTTTCTCTTTCAGTTCTTCTAAGAAATTGTCAGCTTAAACCATGTTGGCAGCCAAAAATTACCGACAGCCCATTGGTACACAAAGTATTTCAATACAAGCCATATTAAGAATATCAGGAGATTACATGGCTAGTTCTCGTGAACTTTCTGATGAAAGGATAACACTACCCAATTGGATCCTAGTATACAGTCACCCGTGTTGCCCGTTGGAATAAAAAAATCGTGATTCTCGCCTGTTTTTCCAAAATCCCCGCTTACGCACCAACGCACTGCAAGTTAGACGAAGTGATATAGTTGTCATCAGTTATATACGTTGCTACAAAAAGTGGAACGATTAGATATAATTATTTGGGTACGTGATTTCATGCTCAAGTAGGAAAAGTGAGCGAATTATTGCACCTAGGTCAGAAGTCTTACACGTCGTACTCCCTGGAGGACACAGAACTGCCAGAGGCTAGGGGACAAAAGGACTTAGGAATTATTGTAAGCCATGACTTAAAAACAACGGCAAATTGTAATCGAGCCGCAGCTGAGGCTTTTCGAATGCTATGGGCACTTCGAAGGGCTTTCAAACGATTAGACGAGGGTATGTTCCAAGTACTCTATGCAACATATGTCAGACCTCATCTATAATACTGCATACAAGCGGCGAGTCCATGCTTCAAAAAGGAGGCACATATCCTGGAACGAGTACAAAGGGTACGAACGAAATTAGTTAGTGGTATCTCACACCTTCCTTATGATATGAGGATGGAGCATTTAAGTCTCTTCCCATTATCATACCGAAGGAGGAGAGGCGACTTAATTTTGACTTACTGTATATTCAAGGGTGATTTAGGGATTGACCTTTCAAACCTTTTCTATCCCTCTAGGATACATTTACCAGGTCACCACAAGAAGGTGCTCAAAGCGAGGTCGAATAACATACGTGTGGAGTTTAGATTATCTCAAAGAGTGATTAAAGACTGGAACTCCTTACCTGATTCGGTAGTAACAGCTCCATCAATGAACGCTTTCAAAAAGAAACTGGACCTCCGCAGAGATACATATAGCGAGGATTAACATAGGCAACAAGAGCCTTCTAGCCATATAATCCGAATCTGAAAAACCGATAGCGATGACAGACCTCTTTCTTCACATAACATACATTGTAGGTCAATAATAAATTTAAACATAGCGAGGCATTTTCTTACTCAGCAACTGCCAAAATTAGATCAGCAATGGACAAAAAGGACGACTTTGCTATAACGTATCAACAGACAAGAGGTGAAAGATAGCCGATATTCCAGAATGTGAATGTAAATAAATATCACGTATGAATCTGTACGTGTGTGACTGAGACTAAACCGGACGATAAGCAGCTGTCTAACAATGTGATAAAAACATGAGATCTGTATACAGAAAGGATGAAATCTGATCATTTTTCTGGATATGATAGCACAAGTAATTGTAAAAGAGCCAGGCATTATATTCAAAGCCATAGATACAGCATTGAGGGCTGCAAATAACCCGTCACTGAAGGTTAATAAAAGACGATGCATTTCCATAATCTCATTTAACCTGCTGGGCTAAAGAAAGGCGATCCTGGCAGGGAGGGGAGATCATTAGGACCGAGGGCTACTTATTTGTACGCTGACTTAGAGCCTTTACGACGACGAACTATGGCGCGTGATGACAGCAAAAGAAGTAAGAAAGACATCAGCAGTAATTGATACCCGTCCAACATATAGAACTATTGAGGAAACAAGCCATTAAGAGTTATGGAGGACAGACCTATGAGAACTCAGGAATAAAGGTCTCAGCAGTTTAACAGAGCTACAGCTACACAAGGTTTGACCACCACTACAAATCAGGCTGAATAAAATATAGACATCGACTCCCAGACTATGAACATGGATTCAAAAGGTACCTGTAATCTAAACAGCTTGTTTTTTTTATTTTTGATTATAGCTTGATTCCACACCGTATTTTTTTGGTACAGGTATGGAATTTTCAGCATGTGATATCAGTAACCCAAATTGTGCAGGCCGACCATAGATATCAGGTGTGCGTCGGCAGGGGATCGAACCCCGGATCATGGGCATGGTCGGCGAGTGTCCTAACCAACGTGCCACCAAGGCACAGATTCGGCGATTAAGGACAGTAGGCTATTATATCCATTGTTAAGCTCTTAGATAAATAAATCCATGGAGAGAGAGATGGAACCAGTGGCACTTCGTCCGATAGAGTTCCGGCCATTGACCGCTTTATATAAGAGTCTGTATTTAAACCATATTTCGCCCAAATTAAGCAAATTTTACACACGATACTGATAGATTACTGACTAGATCAACTAATCTACTGGTTAGCTTAAAGAAACGTGAGATATCGCCACAACACTGGTATTACAATTAATAGCTGTACCATGCATTAGTGCTGTATGCAGCTAGAATTGACTTTGGGCTCACTGCAGACACTTGGGGGGAAACTTCGGGGGCCCTCCAGACAAATGTCCCAATTTCCGTAATGCATCCTAAACTTTTTGCATCGGAATGTATTCATTGAACCCAAAGAGAGTGCTATCTAGGTAAACCAATCACTGCCCTCTCTTCAGCATTCCTAAAAACTTGTAGCTGTAACAAAGCAGGCTTTGTGGAGTATGCAACAATATGATTGTGCACTTTTTTGTTAAATGTTGAAATTAGAGACACTGTACATGCCTTTTTTAAACCGATTCATGTTGAAATATTGATAACTTCCGAGTACAAGCTAAAATACAGTGTACTGTTGGTAGTTTCGTCTTCTCACTAGTCCATACTGTCTACTTGCTTCACTCATAACCATACTGTATACTTTGAATTTTTGCAGGAACCTCTGATCCTCATCCAAAGACTTTTGTAGAACCAATAAACAGCATCTACCAGTAGACACGACTAGAGCAGTGAACGCTTCTGTGGATTATATTAATAATTTGTAGCTGTGGACTTTAACTGTATATCTAAGTAACCGTTTAATTGATATAACTCATGACTGCATTTTTATAATATACTGTTACACTATCATCTCATTAACTTGGGTTTTTAGTCACATACTTGTTATGTTATTGAGCTTGCTAGACAGTCCCCTACAACTTTATTGTGCATCGGTGGCACAGCGGTTAGGACTCTCGCCGACCATGCACACGGTCCGAGGTTAGATCCCCCGCCGACGCACACCTGATATCTATGGTCGGCCTGCTAAATTTGAGCTACCGATATCACATGCTGAAAATTTCATACTTGTACCAAAATACTGTGTGGAATCAAGCTATAATAAAAAATAATAAAAAAATCTTGGTTGACTAGAAGGAACAGACAACCCATAAAAAAGAGACTGGAAAGTATGGCTTGAAGTGCCAGTACACACTGAACAAAACATTTCTGAGTGTCTTGTCTAATTCACAACCTCCTCCTATACAATTATTACAAGTGCCGAATATATCCTGATTCCCGAGCTACTGTTTGTATTTTACTTCGTGGCAGGTTGGCTTGTACTGTTCCTAAAGAAGTGCAGAAGACCAAGTTCCCTAGGTCTACACCACATCTATTTTAGTGGCTAGTTCAGGTATAGATTAGACAACGTAGTCTAGTGTAACATGTCTTCTACAACTCATGTCACTTACGACGGACTTTGAAAACAGCTTGACTCAGTAATACTTAGTAATAAAGCAACATTATTACGCTAACTTACTCCTCAACAATCTATTATAACTTTCCCAGAGAATGGCCTTGAGCAGTAGGAATATTTCAAACTTCCGCTAACTCAATATTCCAAGGATGCATATATCTATTGAATCTTTGTTATTAGAAACCTTTCCATGTCTTCCGTAGATTCTGACATGTAAAATCTGTACAATCGTTGAATGAAACTTTATTTAAATCATTAAGCGACTGGATGCAGTTTCGAGGGGGCACTTTGTTTCGTATGACGAATGTGAATTTCCCGCAGTTAGTATTGGTTGTATTGCCAGCTATTCTTCCGGAACAGTCACAGTCAAGCAGAGTGATCCTACATCAATCTAATGAACGAAAGAACCGTGACTTTTGAACGTTCATGGCTTGACTTTCGGTTTGATTATTTTTTGTGCCTTAACGGTTCAGTAAAAATGGATGAAGCACCCACATGTTCATGCTCGAATTTTAGTCTGATTTAATAACGGTGACATGTTGATTCCTCTCCGTCACTTTAATTGATTAGAGTGCTGTGAAAAACACATTGCAAATGTATATGAGATACGTCTTTCTAATAAGAACTAGACTTAATCCTTTTACTACATCTATCCTCGACACTGAGCATGACTAGGATTCATTGCCGTATTCTAAATAAACGCAAGTCTCTATGTTTCTCTCCGATCTCTGAGGTCACTACTTCCAACGACAATAACCAAGAAGTTTTCATGCATATTCTTTTTACGATTCGATTCAGTTTCAGAACGAAATGCAGGATTCTACCTCCAACAAAATGATCTTCGATAAGTGGAATAATGCCAGCATCAATTACACCTTCGAAGACAAAAATATAAATGTTACAGTTGGTGTCCATGGAATAAATGCACACTACATTGTGCTTACGGTCAAGGCGGGTTGACCTATCGAACCACTGGAGAAACTACAACACACCAAAAATTTATTAAAAATACAAAAACTTCAGATTACAATTTTATTCTTCGTTCTAATCGGAGAGGCGAAATGACGCGGGTTAATGAAAGCCCACCTTCGGAAAGCCAGTCGGCCAGCCGATGTATCTCCTCTCGATGAAAGCAAGAATGAGAATGGACACGTGGGATGTCCGTACAATGTACGAGGCTGGCTAGGAAGACTGCCCAGGTAGCCAACGAAATGCGAAGATATGGCATAGAAGTGCTGAGTATCTGCGAGAGCAGATGGAATGTATTTGGGTTGTCGAAATTGTCAACTGGAGAGTCAGCAATCTACTCCGGTCACCCAAACGACAACCATGAACACACTGAATGAGTGGCCATAATATTGTCACCAGTGGCAGCCAGAGCCCTAATGCAGGGGGAACCCATCTCCTCACGCAGGATTATGACAGCAAGATTCAGTTCGAAAGGAAGGCAGGAAGCTTACAATTATCCAATTCTATGCACTTACAAACAACGCAGAACAAGAGAAGAAGGAAGATTTTTACAGGCGACTACAAACGGTAATGGACAACATCCTAAATTGTGACATCGAAATCCTTATGGGCGGTATGAATGCCAGCCGAAATGGGAGCAGATAATACAGGAAGAGAACTCATGATGGGCCGAGAGGCTCCCACTTGGCAAAATGAATGAGAACGAGGAGTTATTCGCAGATTTCTGTGCTTTCAATGATCTGAAGATCTAATGCAGCATGTAAAACTCAAGGATATACGCACACAGTATTTCGGTATAACCATGGAATTTTCAGTATGTGGCAAGTCATATATGACCTGGATTTTATAAAACCGTGCTGATAAGGTGCTATGAGGTTTTACGTCAATAAGGTGCCAGTGATTTCAGTACCAATTATTTTCTCAAGTATCCTTGACCAAACAGATGTTATATTGATTGGCCTGTAATGCTTCACATTATACTTTGAGCCGAATTTAAATCTAGGGATAATATGCGTCTGCTTCCATTTTGAAGGATAAACCCGTTCATAAGGGACGTTGAAAATATTTTAAGCAAAAGGAGGGGAGATTGGGGCAGCAATTTTTTAGGAAGGATGGGGGAATTGAGTTAGGTCAAGGAGTATTGGAGAATTTCAGTGAACTGACTGCACTTTTTATAACATCAACTGTCAAGCATAAATGTGACAGTGTTTTGACTATTACAGAGTCAAAGGCGGTGCATGCAGAAATATCGTGCCTGTATGAATCAGAAAAGTGCTTATTAAAGAGTTCAGCTATGCCAGCATCACCCTCAATTGCAACATTATTATAAAGAATGTAAGGAACGTTATCTCGTTTTTGTTGCATTCTTTTTTGGAAGAGTTTGCAAAGAGAACTAATTTTGCAGTCACTTTTAAGGGCAAAAAGTTCTTCTTTGTTAGTTTTTTGGTATTGTATGATCCGATTTTATCATATACTTTTAGGATACTAGTAAGCGAGAAGTCCATTGATTTATTGTAAGTTTTACGGAGTCTACTTGGCTTCTTCCTGGTACCATTTGGTATATATAGATGAGTTACACATTTGCATTTGGATTTATACCAAGGGATAGATTCGCAGCAACAGACTGATATGTTGGAGTAGGAACTGTCTAGAACAGTATAAATGTCTGCGAGGAGAAAAATGCATCCAATTCTTGGAAACGAATAAAGGACAGCGTTGTTTCCCGTTTAGCCCTTGAAAAGTCTGACTTTTATTGTCCGAGAGCGGCCTTTAGCTGACCCACTTGCTGCTGCGTTAAAGGTAGAAATGCCCATGTTGTGGTCGCTACCAGGGAATAAGTGCCCAACTGGAGTGATGACGGGGAGAATGTTGTGTGTGAAAATAAGACCCAGGATGTTGGATTTGCGTGTGGGGTGATTAACATTTTCTGTTCAACCACATAACTCAACCGTATTTATAAAACGATCAGGGTATGTAGGAACATTTATGCTATTCCAGTGGATACCAGGTATGTTAAAGTCGCCAGCTATTGCTTTGTAGTCGAAATTTAGAGAAGGGACGTGTTTAAAATTTTCGTATAGATGGTTCGCTGTGTTATTATCAGAATTGAGCTGGTGGTATATACATCCTAAAAGAAGCCTTGTATTTTAGTTAGTGTCTAGTATAGCCCGTACTGCGTCTATCAGTGCTCAACCCAGATCATCAACTTCCACAGCGAGGAATTTGTCACTGACAAGAATAGGACAACCACCACCACATCCTTCTTCTCTGACATGTCTTAAATGTGTGTATCCTAAGGATTTTAACAGTCTGTCATTGAAGTCAGATTGTAATCAGGCCTCGGTAACTAACAATACTGAGGGCACACAGGGTGAAAGCGAGGAGTGAAGGTACGGAATTTTATTACACATAGAACGAGCGTTTATAGGGAAAAGCGTATAATATCCTTGATTAGTGGAGAAGGCTGAGGCAAAATGAGGGAGATGATGGCGTGATTCTGCTAATGTTAAATGAAAATTAGATGACAGACTGATCGGTACATTCAGTGTTCGGTGCGTAAAGCCTTCATTGTTTTCGTAAAGGTTCTGCGAAGAAGAGTGTGTCCATGGCTTTTCGTTCATTTCATGAGCTCACGGAGATAGGGTATCCTGGGTGTCTGTAGAGGACAGATTTGATCGTAAGGTAACAAACTGCTCGACATTGGGTTGATTGGTGGCATTACCGTCGGGTGCGGAAAAGTGAAAAAATGGTGAGGAGACTGACTATTTAGGGCATTGTAAAGACGGATTTGGTGTCAGGGGAGTGACTATGCGCCTGAAATATGGGCATAATTAAATTCGGCATTACACTGCCTCATAGTAAAAGTTGGGCTGCTGCAACTAGTTGTATTAAAATGGTGAGGATCAACACAAAGCTGAGTCAAGGTGAAATACAAATCTTATTACATTCACAACTTCATAACTACTCAAATTAACAAAATCACTCCTCAGAGATTCATGTACTTCGAACACACTTCACGTTTTTATATCGAGGTAATGTTCCTAATATAGTCAAAGCATCAATGGTAGAATACAGAACACTTGAATTATTGAAGCATTAATAAACATAAGGTTAGCCGAGACTCTGAAAACAGGGGAACCGCTCACACCACCCAACGATGTCCTCAAAAAACTCGGAATTCCTCTTCCTGAAGTCCTGCCAATTCACGATCTATTGCTTGAGATCATGGAACTTCTAAAAGCTCACCCTCTCTTCCAAAGTACTCAGAATCTCTTCACTATCCTCATTTGATAACGAAGACTCGAAATTCTGCTGATATTCCCCTCCAACAAAACAATAATCCCTCTGCTTGTAAACTTCAGATATGGCACTGGGAATCAAGGCATCTAAGTGTTCAACACGTACATCTTCCAGTTTCTCGACTTCTCTCAGCAACTACAATGTTTAGAAGGATTTAGAACGACAGAAAACTTAAACCAAGCACCACTCATTTTGACAAAATATTCATTTGACAGAGCAGGCAAAATAGACAGACCAGTATCATATACCTGAGCTTTCACTAAGAGATCTACACGAAAGAAACCTGTAAACTGCTAGATGAGATTAACACACATCTGTACAACTGGCAGAAATTAAGCACTATTGCAGACATGTTCTACATTTACTGGAATTATTAAATAAAGTAGTGAGACAGCAACATTTACAATCACCGCCTATTACTCATATTGGCTAACATCCATGACACAAACATCATGAACACTGGGTGTGGTAGTAGATTGAGTTACTGACAAACCAAGTCATGCATTGTGATTATTTGTGTCCCTTCAACTTGCAACACTCATGAGTGCCGCACCAGAGAATAGACAACTGCAGTGATCTTACTCTATCATATCACCTTCGGGTGATAAGTATGATGACCAAAAGATTAGTGGACAATTTTTTGAATTGCAATTGTGACAACCAGTGGATGCATTCGAGCTGCTGTGAACCACTTTGAATCAGTTCGTAGTCCGTCTACAACCACTGGTCACTGACATTCCAAGGAGTGTACAACTCAATACCTGGCTCGGCCTAACAGCCAGATACCCCAAGGGTTCGTATCACATCTTAGCCTGACTGCCTCTTATCGGGCAATCCTGTCATCTCCATTCACTCATCGAAAC